CGCCTTGGCCAGAAAAAAGAAAGCAGACTTTCGGCTGTTTGTTTCTGGAAGTCCGCTTGAAGTGGGAATCATTGATCTTCTGGAGCTTGCTAATGAGGTCTTGTAGAGACTTAGCCACGACAGCGTGTTTCCACTCCAGGCTGGATCGGCGACAACCAAGGGTGTAAGCGTAGTCACGAAAAAAAGAGTCATCTTCTCCTGATTTCGACTTCAAGTAAGGCAAGTGAGATTCTATGACACGCTGGACACCTGACCTCTCATGCGCTGAATAGAGAAAAAGTTGCGTCTCGGGGCCTTTGTCGCAATGAGGCGTTGGTAGAGTAGAGCTCAAAGACTCGAAAGAGTTGTGATTACCCTTCAGTCCACGAGCTGACAGGTATCGAGGAGCCTCATCCATGATGACATGGGCGTTTGTGCCGCCGAAACCGAAGCAGTTGACACTGACACGACGCAGACCGGGAAGAGGCCAGTCGAGGATTTTAGTCGGTACCTGGAATTGGAGGTGAGTAAGGATATCTATGATGAATTGTTGTATGCATACCTTGACTTTCCAGTTCTCGAAATCGATATCAGGATTGGCTCTCTCAAAGTTGATGTTGGGTGGAATTTTGGCATGTTCTAAAGTAAGAACGCCTTTGATGAGTCCAGCTACACCGGCAGCACCTTCTAGATGGCCGATGTTGGGTTTGAGCGATCCAACAACGATGGGGTTGTCAAGGCCTCGAACAGAGCCGAGCGATTCAGATATTGCTTTAAGCTCTCGCCAGTCTCCGGCTTTGGTACCAGTGCCGTGGCACTCGACGTAAGCAGTTTGACTGAAGTCAAGACCTGCAGATTCGTAGACGTAATTGATGTTTGCGACTTGAGCTTCCTTACTTGGTAGGGTAATCCCTTTCGAATTTATTAGTAGGCTGATAGGACGGACGAGACTTTAATCCACTCACCAGTTGTATGGCCATCTTGATTGACCTTTGTGGCTCGAATGACAGCACGAATAGTGTCGTTGTCGCGGAGAGCATCAGATAGGCGCTTCATGACTACAACACCGATACCTTCGCCTCTTCCGTATCCGTTGGCTCTGGAATCGAAAGTAAAGCACTTGCCGTCAGGGCTTAAGAAGTTGAGAGCGGTCATTGGCATCATGGTGTTCGGAGTAAGAATCATACCTGCACCTGCGGCAATTGCCTGAACTGTTGTTAGATCGTGGCAAGAATAATAAATGGGAGAAAGTCTTACCAGTGATGTTTCCTTTGTTCGGAGGCTTTGCGCAGCGAGATGGACAGACACAAGACTGCCACTGCAGCCAGTGTCAATTGTCATGCTAGGCCCATGCAAATTGAAAAAGTACGAGATACGGTTGGCCATAATGGCAATACCGTTTCCAGTAGCAGCATATTGAGGCTGCCAATCTGGGTCTCGAAGGCATACCTGTTCATAGTCTGGTCGACATTAGCAAGTGTCTGAGCGAGGTAGATGATGTGCCCTACCTTTGACGAAAGAACCAACGTAGACTGCAGCATCGCTACCGTCAACATCCTCTTTGCGGATACCAGCTGAAATTTTGAGTTAGTATTGATACGGTCAAACCGATGACGAGACTCACAATTCTCAAGTGCCTCATATGAGGCTTCAAGTAGGATTCTTTGCTGAGGGTCGATAGCTTTGGCATCTTCCGCCGCAACGGAGAAGAACTAAGATAAGCACCAAAATTAGCAAATAAATCCTCGGTATCCAATAATGATTCAAGGTTGAGACATACAGAGGCGTCGAAAGCAGCGAAATTACCCTTGATGAAGTGGGCGCCACGGAAGGATATCTAGAGAAGGTACAGGGTTAGCAATGTCCTTCCTCTTGGAAAGCACCGCAGGGCTTCTCGACATACACTTCCTTGACGGTCGCCGCCGGGATGGTAATAGCCGTCAATATTTAGGCGATCTTTAGGGAATTCACTCCACTGAGATTCTCCCCGTTCCAAGACTTTCCACAGTTCCTCGGGAGACGAGGCATCACCAGGGAATCGCAGGCCGATGCCCACGACAGCGATGTCGTCTTCCATGATGTCAAAAACAGACCCAAGAAATTCTAACAACTGAAGTGCGATATTTTGCTCTATATTCTTCCTGGATGATGTTTGTCTCGGCAAATGGATATCAAAAAGGTCAAAATAAACCGTGCCTACCAAGAGAGGTGTTGAGGTTGGAGAGAAGGGGAGCCGGAGAGGTGACGGAATATAGGTAAGAGCAACTCGTTCAAAATCTGCCGGTAGTAATAGATATTCTGGTAGTGCTGTGTCAGTGCCAAAACTTCGAAATAATTTGATAGCTTGGATAGCAAAGTGACAGTCGGTGATTCGATCAGCCGGCACTGGCAGGCAGTTGCGAAGCCAGGTTCAGGTCTACACCTCTGCCTTTCGTTCAGTAGAAGACAAAAGTGAAGCACAGATATTAGAATAAAAAGAATTATCTTATGACGAGCACGGAGGCTATTCACCCCCTCGCTCAGTGTTGAGATGAGAGAAAGGGGCCAAGATATCGTGCAGTGCCCTGCTTTTATTAACGCCTTTCTCAAATGTTTTTGTTCCGAGAATAGAACCAGGTAAAAAAGGTAAAGACGTCAACGGCCAAGTCAATCTTTAATTAGAATGATCTGACAAGATCGATGCCGTGCCGTCACAACACTGCCACTACCAACAGCTGTCCATCCCGCGGTCGGCGTGATAACTCCAAGTTTGGCCGACGGCACGGAGTATGACTAAGATGATACCATGCAGATACAGGGAAAGCACAGGAAGATAGTTGAAGGCCATGCAATCCAAGGGCAAGCTTATGTCTATTTAGTCTGTGTTGGTAGATACATCAGGGTGCATTGCGTATAGCTTCATACTACACGGACAAAGAGAGCCAGGGACGAGTTTAGGCAGAGGCAAAACCCCTTTGAGATTGTCCCAGCGGTCAGGACGATCAGATTACCAAACTTCACTTCTCACGGCAGCGTGCCTCATTTCAGATGCAGGCTTAGCTGCAACATCCCACCAACTGCTCAAAGAGAATAGTGCTGGATTGTTCCTTCGGCGATCTATAGCCCCCAAAATTAACTCCTTTAGCCCACGGCATGCGACCAGAAGTCAAATACGTTTAACCGCCCATCTGGATTTCCTCCCTCGCTAATTTGTGATTTAGATGGGCCACCGCCGTATACTTGCATCAGGCGTTTTGTCTTCTAAGCGGCACTTGATGAAAATAAAAACTACCCGTTTAGAAAATTTGGGGCTCCCATTATCCCAATAAGTGCACCCTCCCCGCGTTGATCAGAGACTTAAGGCCCGGCAGCTAAATGAGAACGGGGCATTGTCCATATCAAGTTTTCCAGTCAGAGACAAATTCGGATCAGACAATTCCTATTGCAACCCTTTGCTGACGCCCCACTAAGTTTCGTCCACATCGCATCAGCTTGCATATGTCAAGGTGAATTTTTGCCAAGGCCAACACTGCGAGTCAGATATGCAGTGTGGTCAACCTTGTCTGGAGTTGAATTCTGCCTCGGAACTGCAGACTAACAGACGGAATCATGCAACGCACTCGGATACGAGCATTCGACAGTCGATAGCCAATAACGAGAAGATAGTAAGTGGACTTCTTCTCGATCAAAAGACCTATCACGAAACATATTGAAGGACGCTAGAATTTGGGGGCTGACCTCATCTTCATCCATTCAAATCCTCTTGATCCTGCGGGACGAGCCGCTGCGATAGGATAAAGATAGCATAAGGTTAAGAATATGCAGGTGATAGCTAGAAGGAGCCAAGATTGGTCAGCATATATGAGAACCGGGTACAGGTGAGTACCTAGGTACCAAACACCCCGGCGAAGTACCTTGTATATGCTTGGTTATGTTTCTAGGACGGGAGGCATTACCGTGTTGCAACGGTTAAATGAAGCATGCAATGCCATGCAAGAGGGGACCAACAGCGGAACAACCGTTGATAGCCTCCCGAAGCAGGGTCCGTACGACGTGAAATGACCCGTGCTAAAGCGGACAGCAAACTGATAGGGTGGAGGTTGAGATTCTTGTATCTCGCCATTACTGATTAGAGATCGAGTTGCGGATGAACAAGTAGCGAGCCTAATAGTGAACCTTGCAATATCACGTGCACTCCCTCGTCAACTCCAGGATGGGTTACCTTTCCCAGAATCATTAACCGAACACGGTGTCTTGAACGAATCTCTCTCCATCAAGAGCCATCTGGTTCCTGGATCGTCTGATTGCCTGGCAAATGTGGCGGAACAAGGTCGTACAAGGCGGCGCCAGACGAGCGTCGTTTGGCTATCGCCGTGCATTCAACCGTACCACGTAGTTACCCATGATCCAAGATGCTTCTGTATCCCATTGCGGTGTTTCCTTTCTCTTGGTCTTTTGTTCCAGGCTGGGTACTAAGCCATGCTTGCAACAATGGTCTTTCCTGAGTGTTCTTGTGCAAGCGCGAAGAAGTCAACTTGGACTGGGCAGCCCACAACCATGAGCTATGGACAGCACAATGATTGCACCAATGATCGCACCAGTGGTTTCTGAACCATAACATCCCGTACGGAGAAACTTCTTCTTTGGGAACCATATTGGAAACTCGCAACAGCACAGAAAGGCAAAACCCAGGGCCGACTGCACCTGTCGTTTGGGTCAGGCCCTGTCCCAGCCACGATAAGTGTGCATACCATGTGTTACCAACACACATGCAGTATTCCACAGTGTTGCCGAGGTGTTTTCGCTTGGGTGCAAAGACAGCGGTTAAGACGCTAACCATCTCTTAATGGACAAGACAGTTTGACAATATCATCCGTTCTCCTTTGTGTCAACTTCTTCCATAGAATCCATGCACCTGGTCCAACTTGGACATCAGAATGCGATATTACAAACTTCAGACTACATTTTGACAAAAGATCGTCTGCGCCCAAAGGCTTCTACCCACCCGTACCACCAGTCTGTTGGTCATAAACAACCCTGTCTTACTTAAAGAGTGCCCCGAGTGGTACAGCGTCCGTCATAGTCACTACTCCTGGACTCGTATCACTGTCAGAGAAGATCTCATCTGCTCTGAGATTGAGTTCCTCGCTGGTGGCTTCCTTAGGCCTGAGTGAGATCTGAGGTTGGCGATAGAATTGAATGGCTTCTTCGCTTGTAACCGTGTAACGGTTGAGGACCATGTCTCAAATATTAATTCGATCCTTCGCCTTCTCCGGCAAGACATTTGACCAAGATGAGGGTGTTTCAAGAGTATCGCATCAAATCCGAAGCTTAGTAGTGTCTCGTCTCGTGCCGTTGGCCTTTTTACTAAAAGCCTGGATCCATATGAAAAACAAACACTCTTTCCAATCTCACGACTACCAAGTAAGATATAAGGATTACTAAAGACTTGCTTCAAGAGGTATAGATGAGATTCGATTATTTGGGAAATATCTATCTCAACCTCTCTTGCCTCTTGCTTCATTGCCTGCCTTGTCGATCGCACCCTCCGCTCAGGAGTTCCAGTTACTACTCTCCAGCCTCACTTACCATAGGGGGTATTTTCGAAGACCAAGATCAATTCCTTATGTCATACTGTCCAATTCTTTAGCTTCAACAAAAAATCACGGTTGAACTCGCTCTCAAATCTCAGGCCTGCCTCAAGCTCTGCGTCGAATACGGTCAGGACAAGCAACAAGAATGTCCAATGGATACCGCATATCGCTTTCCTACCCGAACCCATCTTTTGGTCAAATGGCAGTGATGGAGAGCATGGCAGAAGAAGACGCGCCGATAACAACAACTGTTATCGGGCTGCGAAAACACTCAGTCACTGGGCCTCGGCGAGTGGTTCTTGTCATATCGTAAGTGACTAGCGATCTCTTAAGAGATGTTGCTAAAATAAAACTCTAGTTTACTTATGGGACTTCTCTTCTCAAGCCTTGACACCTCGATCGTTTCAACATCACTCGTCACTATCTCGCACGACCTGGACGACTTCACCAACGCCCCATGGATTGTTCTAGCATATCTTCTAACGTATATGGGCACGTTCCCCCAAAATCGCGGGCTAGAGGACAATATCTGACAAGATGCCGCAGGATTTGCCGTTTGTGTGTCCAAGCTGAGTGACATATATGGCCGGCGAAACATGCTCGTGGCATCATGGGTCATTTTTGTTGGTTTCTCTCAGGGCTGTGGATCAGCTACAAGTATGACAGCCTTGTATGTGTCCTGCTCTGTGCTCTGCTCTCAAGCTGACCCTTTTCAGGATTGTGTGTCGTGCTTTCCAGGGTATGGGAGCATCTGGATTGTACAGCTTAACACAGATCGGCCTAGTTGAGGTCGGACCTTCCCACAGTCCCAGTCTAATAGGAGCTTTGATTGGGGCTACACTTGCAGTTGCTTTCGTACTCGGCCCTATCATCGGTGGTGCAGTCTCTCAGCTTTCAGACTGGAGATGGCTATTCAATATGAAGTAAGCAGATATTCTGGTTACCTGGGGGGCCAATTCTAACTATTCAAGCATCCCTTTCGGTCTAATCGCAATCCTCACAATCACGAATCTGTGGCCGGATGAAGAAGTGGCTCACTTCTTCTCATGGAGAGCTTTTGTCAGCATAGACTTTATCGGCAGCGCGACTCTTCTTACTAGCTCTGGATTCCTTGTATTCGCTATTCAGCAGGCTGGCTCAGAGACATTTGCCTGGGGAAGCCCAGAGATTATCTCAGCCCTATCTGCATCGGTTGTCAGCTGCTTTGTATTCATGTGGTGGGAAGTGTACTTGGAAACTAAGCCAATGCGCAACATCGAGCCCATCTTCCCCATTAGACTGATGCTGCGCCGAGTTTATTCTGCTGGACTACTGTAGGTTTGAAGAGGGCAGGAAGCTCGGTACAATCGATGACTAACGTGTCCAGCGTCACTTTGTTCACAGGATTTCCTTACATCTCGCTTTCTATTGTCATTCCGGAACGATTTCAAATCGTCAGTCGCGAGGAGGTGCTGATGGCAGGTGTCCATATCCTTCCTATGCTGGGAGCCTGTGCTATTGGCTCATTCCTTGGAGGGGCTCTATCGAGTCGACGGAATAACACTTCATTAACGCTTGTTGGCGCATCGTGCCTTCAACTTCTTGGGGTTGGACTCATGTCCATGTTGATCGAGCCCGACTCTGACACCAAAGCCCAATACGTCTTTCAAGCAATCTTCGGGCTCGGAGTTGGTCTTTCTTTCTCAGCGGCGACTATAATGACCAGTATACTTGCCGCCGAACGGAGTGAGCTTGCTTCTGCCCAGGGTGCTGTTGCACAAGCCCGCGTCCTGGGAGGTTGCATCGGACTTTCGAGCTGCACTGTCATCTTCAACTCTCACGTCAATGAGTACCTCAAGAGTCAATTGACACCTGCGCAGCTCAATAGTCTTCATAGATCGCCACTGACTAGTCTGCAACTTTCAGGAAAGTTGCAGGACTTAGTAGAAGATGTCTACGCTGGCGCATTCGCTGAAGAAATCCGAGTAATGATGCTCGTTTGCTCAGTCATGGTGATCATATCACTATTCTCTCTAGAGCGGAATCCTGCGCTACTGGAAAGATTGACAGCCTTTCCCAAGGATGACTTCTCCTCCAGGCGAGGTAGCGAATCTGCCACGGAGATGACTGACGTGTCAAGCATCCGTCGCTCTGCCTGACATGAGGTGGTTGATGGTTTTTATTTCGATTTCCTTTATATCCTCGACGAAAGGATTCAAGCACAGCTTATCTTCACACTATTGGCATTTTGGGTGGTATATTTGGCGTTGGCTTGAAGTATTGGGGTGCCCTGTGCGGTATATGGGTATTCGGATCTTGTGACAACCGAGGGCTGAATGGAATATCTACAGGCTCTTTTGTTTTATCAGCTTAAGTTTTGGCATGATAAAGTTCTCGAGATACGATATAAAACAATGCTCAAACATACATAGTGGCCCAGTAATGGCCGAACCGGGAATGTCTACACCAAACTATCGCCAACCACTGTACTTGATGATATGAACTATAGTGTGGCTGTTATTGGCAAGTCGAACCGTCCTTTCGTTTCCAAGAAGGTCTCGGCTATTCCTAAAGAGCCAGACATATCAAATCCATTTGTCCCACGACGATGTTGCAATCTCGTAGGACATCGCAAGACCAAACCGACTGGCTTCCAAATGACTATTACCATGCTATTGTGCCACTAGCGTGTGTTGTTCTTCAACCAGCCGGTCAATCCCAAAGCCCGAGACCGGGGAGGCCTGGGAGAGCTTATGGACAAGGCCGCGAGTCCGTTTTGAGACAGGTTGGTTGTGCAGGTGGTCCCTGTCTTTCTGCGTATCCCTTTTGGGCCAAATGACCACGACCTTACACAAGAGATGGTCAGGTAGTCAGTGTTTGTGAGAAATTGAAACCATTGTCTTGGAAGTTCTTTATTATTTTGGGGTTTCACTGCCTCTTTGATCTGCGCCACTTTTGAAAGAGAGGCCGACTGCGTAAGGAGAGTTGGGGTCTGTTTGGTGGTTCTGATGTTTGGCCAGGACGCCGTGTGACTAGCACGACTGTATGCTGGACTGGGTATCGAGATCTGGCAGGAGGAGAATGCAAGATGTGTGATAAGATCTAATGCGTGCCCAGATAGGTTTACCTCGGCAATGGCATTGCCTTCATGTAGGAGGATAAGAGATATTTTTTTTATCGGAATAGTTGCCTTGTGAATAGTGGTACATCAGGCTCGCTAGGTAGTATCTAAATCCAGGCATTTAAGAACTAGTCATTGTGTCCATGGATTCCAAAAAAGAATAGATAATGCATTGGAAATATATACGCTCAGCTTGCGAGAAGTATCTTCTTGCAATCTTGGCCCAACTTACATGTTTTATCCAGTTGACCACAAGACTCGCAGTTGGCGATAACCCGAATAAAACAATTAAAATGGAAATTAAACAACGGTATGATGACTAGAGGAGGAATTCATCAACTATCAGACCAATGACATTGTTCTGCAATCTTGGGACACCACCGCCCATCCCTAGCACTAACAAGGAACACCTCAGACAAAGGGACCAAGAACGTAGCCGTTCCAAACAATGATAATAGCACTTAATGACAATAGGGCTTCTTTTTAGCAAAGAAATCGTTGTAAAGGTAGAGCCCTGGATGATTCCTTTCAGAAGTGTGCCGTGATGATTGACTACACTTATGGCCTTTGTTGTCCATTTTGTCTAGTTATCCTGATGGAGAGTTCGAAAGACTCTACCACATAATGCATGTCATACGATTTCCCCTTGCCTCTTAGTGAAGCACGGTACATACACCTACATACGTATATATATAAGTGAGTCTGCCCATGGAGATGGTACTAAACAACAACATTTGAAACATCCAATACGTTCCTACTATCATATCAACATTAGGGCCAAAATCGACAACGATGAATACATTCGAAGTCCCGCAAGTCGCACTGTTGAGTCCTGTCACTCACGCAGTATTAGAACGATCATACAAGACACATGAACTCCAAACCCAATCTCACGAGAACACAACCGAACCTTCAGAAACTCTCAACTACCTCAAAATAGTACAAAACTACTAGGAGGCCGCAATCGTAAAAGGGACTTTAGCAAACTGTAAGGGAATTAACTTCCAGGCTATATATAGCCAGGTCCACAGTGGATAAAGGATTCCCTTCAACGATATGAGGCGTGGTGATGTCGTCGTGCTGTGCGCCTCTCACAATGTCTGCGGACAAAGCTCAAGACGATACCTGTACTGGGGCAAGACATCTGTCGACAGTGACCAACGTCTTGTTTTCTTGACATTGGTAACTTGCAGAGGGGAAGGCGTAGAGAAATTCCTCTATTGGTTTCTGAAACATGCAGTTTCAATCCGGGCGGCGTGTAGCATCCAAAGCCTTCGTCAGTTGGACGCAAGCCGTTGTTGTGAAGCCCAGACATGACTACATTGTCGGTATTCGAGAGCGACCTGAAGCGAAGGGTGAAGATTTCAACGCCCTTGTCGATGTTATGGAACATTCACTGAACTCTCATGCGGAACTCATCAGCTATCCTTCTACCCTCAATCACACGGATGCGAGCTATCCAGATGCGCAGAAGAGGGGCAATACTTACCGCAAGATCAGAGATAACTTGAAAACGCTCACAGGCAAGGTCTGCCATAAACAATGTAGTGTCAACCGAGCACTCCAAGATGGGCTTGTCGAATACCCCAAGAACAATGAGTGGCGCAGTAAGTATTTCCCAATCAATCCGCACCCACGAGGTTTCAAACCCAACAGTTGTAAATGTCAGCCACCTAAGGATTTCTATGAGCTCATGGCAGGACAAGTCGCGCATTTTTTCGCAAACAGTCACAAGATGATTGGAAACTAGGTAGGACGGAAGGTAGGTTTGCAAGTTGCGAGTTTTCATATTTAGTTCCACTTCATTCCGTCTATCATTTCGAAGAGTGGTCAGCACCACCAATGGCCTGAGGCTTGAAGTAAACAGTCATGACTCCCTCAGGGCTGAGGTTACCCTTGACAAAGTCCTTGAGATCCTGGTGAGCCTGGCAACCATTGTCGTAGTACTTCATATCATCCATGCTGGCAAACTCAGTCTTTGATACAAAGGTGTATCCCTGAGATCGAGCGTCCTCATCAGCTGCACCAACGACCATGGAGAGGATATAAGGCTTTCCATCCTGTAAAATGATTAGAATACACTTGCACGTAAGATAAGATCGGGAAGAAGTCACCTTTTGCTGAGAGGCGTCGAGCTTGTGGTACTGGTCCAGCAGCTTAGCCTGGTCTTCTTTGCTGGGAAGCTTGAACATGGTGATACGGTGCACACGGTTGGACATTTTGACGGTAGTGGTTTGAGTAAAGGGTCTTGATATGTTTTTGAGGATGAAAGGGTGATATAGAGTTCGTGAAGAGGATAGGGTGAGAGCCCGGACAAATCTGGAGCTCATATACAATATATGCAGAAGGGGTTCGGAGAAACCAGAGGAAGCAGATTTTAAATAGGTAGGTAGTTTGGATGAGATAGAAATAAAGTAAGGATTAGTTGTCAAAGACAAAGAGAGGTAGGCGGTTGCATGCGGGTCAGTTTAAACGCGGGGGAGCGGCTCATAAAGATATCCCCGCCCCGACAGTTGGAGGTTTGGTTCCGTATTATTAACATAGATAGACCAATCATTTTGCATCGTTTTATAAATGCAGTTACTCCAGATTAAACAGCTTCGTCTGATTCCGCTCTTAACCCCGCGTTTTTCCGTTGACTTATGCCGCAACTAACACAATAACCCATACTTCTTTTACTTTCTTACCTTGGTCACCACTTACAAATATCAGCAACTGACTGATCCAAGTAACATCCAACATGTTAGCCAAAGTTAAAGTTCGGTTTCAGCTGTCTGGTAGACCACTTCTAGGTAGCTTCTACCCCGCCCTAATGACCTAGTCTCGCCTGTCCATTCCCTGTCAATCTCCAACTTTCATATATTAAACAAGATTGGCGGGATAATCTTTTCCCACTATTCATATCCAATCGAGCTTAAATCCTAAACACCAAAGATCGAACATCCCAGCACTGGTTACTGTAGGTACTGTACATCAGGCCACATGTGTTCGCATCTATTTCCATCTCAGGCACGTAAGTGTTCTAGATTCTCCCGGAACAATGCAGTGTGGTAGCATCAAGATAACATAACAGTAAGGCTGCATTTTCAGGTTGCCTTTGACCGCCTTGCTTTACCAATTTGTCGTATCTGTATCTTCCCGCGGCTTTAACACTAACTACCAAGCCAACTGCAATTCATTATTTCTCTGCCTAAAATAGATGCAATCAATTCTGAATGCAATACCACTTTGCCATGGTTGGATATACACGCATTTGTCCTTGTTGTATGCTTTTACTCCTTCTTGCAAACTCCTTCGCTAACTCGATATACGCGGGGGAAAAGACCAAATCACTTTTGTTGTAAATTCAATTAGAAACGGGCACACCATTCCCTTCTCCTCCTAGATCGTCACCTAGAATGTCTTCATTGTCACTTGGCCATCAACTCCAGACTGCAAGTCAGCAAGATGTCGACACAACCCTTCGACAAGCGGAGGCATGGCTTCGTTGGTCGCAGGGTAGTTTTGTCGAAAGACGAGTCGACACAGCGACAAGACTGCCGCACAATTCGACACAGGCTCCAACTGAGAGCACATGCCTCCTAGAGACTCCAGTGACGGTGTGCCCTGACCAGTTTCCAAGAATGTCGTCAACTCTCCGGTCTCTGATCCATTGAGTAAAATCGTGTCGTCGTCTGTCTCTTTGTAATCGTTCATTGACTGCTGAGAGACCAGGCCATGTGCCCACAGAGTAAGACTAGCAAGATACACGACCATGGCGTTGAATCCTCGCAGTCCTGTTGGCTGATACTCCCCAGCGTATCGAAGAACCTGCCCAGCATGCCAAACAGCATACCGAGACTCTGGTTTAGACAGCCAGGTCTTTTCTAATAATTGCGCAGCTCTTCGAGACTCCTCTTCGCCCTTCCTGCCTGCAAGCCGCTGCACATCATCCAGCGAGACATGAAGGATCATCATAAACAATTCCGAAAGGAGCAGAAGCTCGGGGCCGAAAGTCCGCACTTCTTTAATCTTGTCCGAAAATCTTCGCAGGTCGCTATAAAGGCTTTGGTAGAGGGTCTGTGCCCACAAAGGAGTATCAGAACCGGAGTGATCTGAAGTTGAGTTGTGAAAGGGAGCAACTGCACAACGGTAAGCCCATACTTGTCCCCATATCCCATGCAGGGCAGCTTTGCAGCAAGTTTCGACATCCACCCAAGCATTAGTTTCAGTCACAAAAGACATGCAATCTCTAATGTCCGAAAGTCGTGGGACATCGCCAGCAGGCAATGGCCCCTTGACCGAGTTCAATTCCCACCATACCTGCGGAGTGCTGGCCTTCCAGAGATCATGAGCAGCGGGGAGCGCAAAGTCAAGCTCACTGTACGCAAGCACAGGCCCTTTCCACGATAAAATCGATGTCTGCACATCGTGTAAAAACGCCCGCATGGCTAGTCTATAATTCTTAGTCAGTACAACATCAAATTCGGCAGTAGTCGTATAAAGAACCTTTTGCAGGATTCGATTGTGATGAAGTTTCGCCATTTCGACTCCAACATTTCAGGAGAATCGCCAGTGTTAGGCGTATGAATATTTGTGTCTGACGTGAAGCTCGTTCTGCCGGCCCTTCGAAGCAGCTACTCAATATTAGTCTACCTATCAAGAATCGACATCACAGCAGACTCACAACCAACAGCTGAGGGGCAACGATTTCTGCTGCCGCTGTTTGCCGGTTGAATCCGCTCCATTGTCCAGTTTCCAGATGAAGCATAGAGGCTTGCAGGCGTATCATGTCCCGTGCTGCTACAGACGATGATTCCAGCTATCGATGGTTAGCTGACTCGTTCCTCTCTTGTTATACTGAAACACAATCTTTTTCGGCCTGCTCTCTCCATGACATACCTTTTGGGTCATGCCTGAAGTGAGTTCGTGAAGGGCTAGACCAAAGTGCCATATCGCAGGACTGGAGATGTGAGTAGCTCCATGTGAGACAATGGCAGAGATAAGGTCAAGGCTGGTTGTTACCAGATCCAAAGACGATCTGTGAATGAAGCCCTCGCTTTTAGGATCCTCGACCGCAAAATGTGTTTCAATCATGTAATTCAATAGCTCAGCTGATGGGAACGATGGTACTCGGTGTGGGGTAGGGTTGTTAGCAAGGACCATGGCAAACAAGCTATCCCGTGAGTGAGATGAGACTACGTCCGAGCGAAGTGCCAAGCTCCCTGCTTGGCTATTGGCCTTAGAGTTAATCACCCACGCCGAACGCCGAAGGGGTATGTTCTCTGACGTCGCATTTTTACGGGACTGGCGAGAGCGTTTGGCTCCGTTCCCAGATTCGGGGCTTTGTTCATTCGTATCAGATTGCAGCACCTTGAGCGATCCAAAGTCTACATCCCAGGAAAATCCAAAGTCTGGAAACAGTTTTTGCGACATCGCAAAATATACAGACTCCTCTGGCCCATCTTCGTAACTTGGCGCACTGATGAACGAAGCGCCAGTGTATTCCAAAGTAGTATCAATTGCATGTTCTTGGTTAGTGATAGCCGACTGTGATAAAGCATAAGCAGCATCACCAGCGGTAAATGCCTGGCTATCGTTTCCACCAGCTGAAGTCATTATTGTGCTCTCTGAGGGGGACATGCCAGCTTGAGACTCTGACGTCCGGTACTGATTCCCTCGTCTCGCTGGCATCTGGCATGCCAAACTCTTGCTGCGACATCGGCTGCATGGCTTCTGATCCTCGCATTTTGCCTTGGATGCTGCGCAATTGAGACATGCTTCAGCAGCGCGATCGCTCCTTCTGATAAAGGGACGATCCTTGGCGGTACCGTCTCGGTCGTGAGTAGTTTCGTGCCGTGTTAAGAGATCAGCGCGATTAAAACGTTTGGGGCAGCGAGTGCATTGGTACGGCCGGGCATTTTCGTGGGACCTGAGATGCCTTGTCAAGTGATCGGCTCGTTCGTAAACACGGCGGCAAATATGGCAGACGTGGGACGGCGACGATGCAGACGCATCGGAGAGTTTTCGTTTCGAGGGCAGTGCAGATGGGGTTCTCTGGGGCGTTTCCCCCAGAGTCTGTCTCAGGGCGGGATCGAGCTGCTGTTGGAAGAGCTGGTGCTTCGAGGTTGACGATGGCAGTAGAGAGTTCTGCAATTCGTGTTGTTCCTGCTGTAAAGGCGGCTGGATTCTTTGGTGCTGGTCGGGGACGGGAACGGGTGTTGCTAAGGAGAAGAGCGATGAAAGCAGCATGTCCGAGCCAGCGGCATCGCAAAGAATGTCGATGCCATTCTGTTCAGTGGCTGCCATTGGGTCCAGGGCCTTCGTCTGGTATACCCCTTGCCTCACCTCGGACAGAGCAAAGCGAAGTCAAGTCGAGCAAAGCAAAATAAAGCCGAACCGGACCCTGCAGGGCTGTTCCTCACCACAAAGAGAATAGCACGGCCAGACTTGCTCGAAGACGTCACGCGTAGCTTATCGAGCCAGAGGCGGCAGGGATTGATAATCAGGTAATCCCGAAGGTTCAAGGCGAATTCAGGCGAGGCAGTTGAAACAAACTGAAAGGCAGTTGTGGTTTCTCGGAAGAGAGGGGGCGGGGGCGGGAGATGTGACAAGCGTTTAGCGGATTTTGGTGGGGTCCCGTCCCGCGGCTGTTTAGCCAGTCAGATCAATCTAATTTCATTCATCACTGGCGCTGGTCCACCTTCCGGAGCCGGGCTAATTCGACGGCCGGCATTTTCACATCCATGTCCGAGTCTGTCAAAACGGACA